TGACTGCCTCGGAGCAGGTTGATGTGGGACTGGAGTGGCGGGAATCGACTGATTCTCTGCAATCGGTTCAGAGGGAGTAGACTGCAACAAGGACATGTTTTCGGGATGTTTGGGATTCCGAACGGGCAACGGCAATGTCTCCCGACGAGATGTGACGTCTAGCGTTGGTTCGCTCTCCTCCAGGACCTCCTCTGTAATATTGTGACTAGGTGACAATGGTTTTAATTTGTGATGACGGTCACTCTTCATGTGATTCGAAGTGAATTTTTGGTGTGCATCTTCGTCAGACTTGCTTCCGTCGAGAACCTCTTCTGTGATGTCCAGGCTGCTTTGCAACGGAGGGCTCTCTTCGAGTAGCTCCTCTGTGACATTCTCTCCCACCGAATCTTTGTTATATCGCGGACTCTCCGTTTTTCTACTCTTTATCACCGAGGCCGCAATAGACTTGACATTTTCACTACCTTTGGCAGACTTTCCGGGCATGTAGATAACATCTGTATCACTGTATACGTCCTCCGTCCTTGCAACAGACGTTTTGGTCCCTTGTAAAGTTTTTGCAGTCTTTTCATCGTTTCTTCGGGTTGAAGGGGGCGATTGTTTTGCTCTGGTAGACGACCGAGTGGGTGTCCAAGGGGACTTGGGCACAGTCTTGCGTCTCCGACCCGGCTTCCGTATAGGCGGGGGGTTATTTGCCCTTCGGGCGGCGGGGCGACGCAAGGTCATGCCACCATATTTTGGACTCATAGTATTATTGCAGACGGATGGGAGTAAAGGAAGTGAAGAGGGGATGGAAGGTATTGTTGGGAGGGGGGTGGGTGTTGGTGGAGAATGCTCTAAAACGGGATGGGTGCAAGCTGATTTTTGAGATTTTGCTGCAAAAAAGAAAAATTGTGAGGTGAGATTGGGATTGAGCTTAGAGAGGGTGTTTGAAAAATTGCGGGGAAAAAAATGCGGAGGAATTTTGGAGCTGTGCTGTACAGCAGTGGAAACGACGTACCGGCGGTTTCCACGTCGGGGGCGATGGCGCAGTATGATCGGGTTGGCGACGTGTCACGATACGTTTTGTGTCTGGCAAACCGCGGTTTCTGGCAAACTGGGGCGCTTCGGATGCAGTGGAACGACAAGAGTACGACAAGAGAACGACAGGAGAACAACAAGAGAACGACGAGAGAACGACGAGAGAACGACAAGAGTAGGATGTAAGGCTGGTACAGTACCGTACATCACTGCTAGGACACCGCCCTGTCTTTAAATATAGTTAATCCATTTCGACAAGAGAACGGCAAGAGAGGGACGTCCCGAATTGCATATGTGTCCAAAGGCGCGTTCCAAGCGAGTCTGTTGCGCGCAACAGCCCCCTCGCGAGCGTCGTGAGTCACGGGCTGACAATGAGAATAAGATGCAGCATCCGTCCGGGTGATCTGTCCCGCTGGGTTTGTGCTGTTTGCCGAAGGCGGTGCGCTGTGCCAAACATGCATCGCGCTCTGCCATTCTCGTGATGGAAGCAATCGATCAGGGCATCAATTCACTGCCTGATTTCTCCGCATCGATGGGGAACAAAACAATCGAGTCTCCCCAATCATGGGCCGTTCACGTGCCACCGCAATTACAGTATCCTATATAAGTTTTTTCCTCCGAGATTTTCCTCCGAGATTTTCCTCCGTTTCAAGAGATTTCAAGCGACAACCACAACTACTGTATCCTTTATTGGATATGCAAACGCCACATGCACTTGTCCGCATTCCTCTACTCCAACGCCTCAATAATATTGTCACTCACTCATCACACTTGAATTCATCCACATCCTAGTCGAAGCCTGTCACTCAGCCTCGATTAGTGCACCGTCCGCCACGTTTTGCTTGTAAACATCTACTCTACACCACATGGACTCTTCTAATCGACCCAAATGCAAACATCAACCAGATCATACAGCCTCAACAAAGCAACACAATACGACCCCAACATGAGCACAAATAGCTTGCAGCCATTATTTGGCTCCCGCAGCCCTCGCCCTCCCCAGCAACAACCAGAACTGCACCAACCAAAACTGCACCAACCAATCACATACACCTCACTCATTCCTCACCAACGACCACAACAATGGCGTTGGGACCAACACAAGGACACCAAACTCAAGCTCGCGCAGCCGACTCCCTTCTTCAACTAGGAAAGCCCCATGTCTTCGTCCTCGGCGGCCTCAGTTACCTCGGCCGCAACATCATCCCGGCCCTGGTCAAAGCCGGCTATCGAGTCAAGTCCATGGCCCCGACCATTGAGCAGCGAGCAAAACTCAGGGACTTGGGGTGTTGCACAGTCGCCTACGGAAGCTCGTATTCGTTTGAGGCTATCAGGGCCGCGGCCAGAGGCAGCCTGTACGCTGTTCACTGCGCCTCTGCCTTCATGCACTACGATGCGTCCGAGGACGATCTCATGTACAAGTCCAACCATCTCATTGCCGTAAACTTGATCAAGGCATGCCGCATTCTTCGCATCGCCAAGCTCGTCGTGCAGAGCACGGAGGCCGTCCTGTACGACGGCAGACCCCTTCACAATGTCGACGAGAATTATCCATTCACGCTAAATCCAATCAGTTCATGCGGACGAAGCATGCAAGACATCGAGGACCTCGTCCTTGCTGCAAACGGTCCAGAGCTACGCACTGTCATTGTAAGACCAAGATTGCTATGGGGCCGCGATGACGAAGCCTTTCTGCCCTCGCTACTACAAAACGCCCGATCAGGTGCTCTTCGACTCGTCGGTGGGGGAGACTATTTGATAAGCACGTGCCACGTCGCAAACGCCTGCGAGGGAATCATCTGCGCCATCTCAGAAGCCAAAGGGGGAGAGGTCTTTTTCTTGACGGACGGCCGTCCGGTTAAGTTTCGCGAATTCGTCCGTGGGCTTTTGAAAGCATCGGGAATGCGCAAGGTTGATCAAGTCACAGACAAAGCGATCCCGTTTTGGTTGGCGCGCGCCCTGGCTCTTGTCTGCGAAGCTTTGGCGCGGATATCAGGGACGCAACCCCGCATGACGCGTTCGGGTATCGGCCTCATCGGGCAGGAACTGACGTTTGTTGACGAGAGAGCTCGCAGAGAGTTGGGGTACAAAGCGAGTGTGAGTATGGCCTGCGGGTTTGATGAAGTTGAGGGCCGACGAGTAGCACTTCGCAAAGAGTCGCGTGGTGCAAACTCGTGAAGTTTTGATACGGTTCACTCTAACTTGATAACTTGTCACGAACAGTAGAAAGAAAGTGATAGCGCGTTGGTGGAAAAGACGAGGGTCGCCAACGCGATTAGCGCCCTGTAGAGCAAGGAAATGCGAGAATAGTTTTAAAATTAACAATAACTAGATCCAACTCCTGCTGAACAGGTCGCAATCATTTCCGCACACCCACAAAACAAGTTGGAAAGAATGCTACTCATCGCTATACCCCATAGTGGCATTCGTTCGGTCCCTCATAATTCCCTTCGCATAGTTGCGGTCAACTCCAAACATCCCTCGTACATGGACTCACTCCCAGAGTAGCATCACTAATCGCCGTGCAATTTAGCTTTAGCGCTCTTGAACCGTCAATCACCCAGACAAAGTCAATAAAAAGCAACGTCTCGCAATGCTTGGCACTAGGGGCGACTGTTTCCTCCGGCAGCTTCTCGAAGTGTCGTCGATATTGTGTCGTTCGGCGGGACATTACGGGCGCATGCTGCACGTCATGTGGTTGATGAAGTCGAGTTTACTTGTAGCGGACTGGATGAAATTGGAAACGAAATTGTGGCACAAGGTCGTTAGGAAATCAGGTCACTTCGCTCCTCAACCGCGGGTCCAAAACGCTTAAAAAAGAGGAGGACATACAAGTTATTCTGCCCTTGGTGAGGTCATATGGGGAGAGCTCACACCTGACCTTATCACCGACGAGAATTTTGATATAATTCTTGCGAATCTTGCCAGAAATGTGGCCGCGAACGACAGCGTCGTTCTCCAATTGGACCGTGAAGACAGCGCTAGGCAAGCTCTCTGTGACGATGCCATCAATCTCGATAGTGGTGGCCATAGGATCTGCACCAGTGCTTTCGGTAGTTTCGGTCTTGTTGTTTGAAGCCTGGCGTTGGTTCTTGCCGCGACGACCGCCGCCTCCGCCGCCCCTTCTCCCCTTCATAGATAGGGCCATGGGGCAACGCGGGGGACATGTTGCAGGAAGGGGCGCGCGAGGGGTTGCGATGCCAGTCCAAGGGGTGGAGAAACAGAAGCAGGTAAGCGCTTTGGAAGATGGGGAAGTAAAGTTCATGGCTCGGTGAAGAAGTACGGAAGCGTAGGGCAAAGATTTAGAGCAGCGTTGCGAACTGAAATTCGACGGGGGGGAAATCGTCAGAGTCGTAATGATGGCGTGAAGAGGGCGGGAAGGCGAGAAGGAGATGGTGCGAGGCGTCATCTCGAATGCCTTGAGATCATACGGCGCTGCAGCAGAGGGAGTTCGCCATCTTTCCCTAGAATTACAGTGTAAGTACAGTATGTACAGTATTTATGCCGGTCAATTATGAAATGGAAGAAGCAATTCACAGATCTGTTCGCAATTGATTTCGAAAACGGCTATTCTTGAGTAACCGGCGCACGTGACGGATGACCAAGGTTCAAATTGTAACGGTCATCCCGTCATCCTCAACGTCCGACTCCTTCGCAAACCATCCGCAGTCCGTTTCGCCCTCCTCCATGCCTCCCGCTTCCCTCACGCCCGCTTGTTTACAAACGCGGAAGCCATGCTCATCCCCTCCCCCCGCACCCTTTCCGCTTCCCCTCCATCCCTTCCTTCACCCTCCCCTCTCCCGCCCTAACTCGTGAACGCCCCACTCCATCCACCATGTCGGCCTTCCGCGCCTCCCCCTTCCACCGCGCCTCCAACCTCCCGACCCAACACTCCACCCTCTCCCGCGAACCATCCGCCACCCCGACCCGCATCCCGTCCTCTGCGCGCCGCCTCCACACGCCCTCCTTCCTGCGCCGCCCGCGCGACAGCTCCCCTACTCGCGACCCCTCTCGCTTCGGCTTCGCGGCCTTCCGCGAGAAACACCTCCGCTACGACCGCGCCGCCGACCTCTCATCTTCCTTCCGCACGCCGGAGCGTCTCCCCGCGCACCGCCCGCGCGATCCTTCTCGTAATGACCACTTCGACGAGGACAGGATTTCCAAAACCCCCGCGAAGGATCGCAACGACGAGTGGCTCGCGAGCCTCGGCTTCGACCTCGAGCTGCTCAAGCTCTCCGCCCGCCGCGACAGCGTGCGCGATGAGGAAACCGAGGAGAATAGACATCCCAACATCGTTGCTGCCACCCCGCCGCGCCCGCCTAGCTACACGCCAAAGCGCACCCCGCTGAGGATGTCTATGTCCGCGGGAGGGCCGCGCGCTGCCGCAGGGGGATCCCGTCCGCCGCTTGGGACGAGGACAGGCATTCCAGCATTCGACCTTGGGGAGAGCGGCCCGTCTCCTGCCCCGATTTTGCACGCCCCCACCGAGTCCTCTGCTCCTGCTGAGGCAATTACCTTTTCAATGGGCGATGAGGGCGCCGTCAACACGGAACATGTCGAAACATCTGCGCATCTCAGGAGTACGCAGCAAGTGTTTGCGGAGGAATCTTCCGTCTCGGTTTCGTATGGAGAGGACTCAAGTGCGCATCATTCCACACAGCCCTGCGACGAAGTGGCGGTCGCCACACCTTCGGTGCAGAAGAGACACACTACTCTCGCCTCCGACTCCCATGCCGCCGCAGATGAGTCTATCTTCTGTACCCCGAGAGCAACCCCACCATCGTGCATGCGTGAGTCAATGATTGGTCGACCGACTGCAACTTCGAGAAGACACACAGATTGGCGTCTTGAAACAAACAGCACGACGGAAAGCACGGTCAATGAGGCGGCACTTACGCCAGCGAGAGTGAAGTCTGCGAGGAAGAGCAGGCGCGCATCGGCACGGGTCTCAGTTCGCGAGCTACGCGCTCTTGCAGAGGGGCAAGAGAGCATGGGATTCAAAGCAGAAAAGGCTACGCCGGTCAGCAAGAGGAAGACGAGAAGCCGGCGATCGATGGCAGCCGTGGATGTTGACGGCCGGAAGACAGACCAGGCTGATGGGAATTTGGCTACCGCCAATTTCGTGCTTTCGCCGGTCCGCGCCACGAAGCAGCAGAGAGAGGTGCTCGGCTCCGAAAGCATTGTGACACCTGTGCGTCGATCATTGCGTATTAGTATGAGGCACGTGCCGGTGGTTAAAATCGATGATGTTGGTGAGCATAACGCAGAAAGGCTGGAATCTGCTGATTATGCGTTTCTGCCTAATCAGAGCCTGCCGGAGAAGGTCGCTGTCGAGAGAAAACCAATCCGTTGAAGATTTTGCAAAGTTTAGAGGACAGTCCTCGACTTCACAGAGCCTCGGTAAGCTGTAAGACGTAGGAAGTAAGAAGCATGTGTGAGAGGTGCGAGCAAAGGGCTCGCCCAAAGCCAGAGGCATCTTCTGTCATACGCAAATGTGGAGCACAAACACGTCACTTTTGAAAGAACATACTCTGTCATACGCAAATGTGGAGCACATACACGTCACTTTTGAAAGAACAGAGTCTCATTTTAAGTCATGAGGGAGAGCAGTGTAACCCACTTCTACAACTTAACTGAAGATGTATCATCCGATTCATACACTTAAAATCTGTGTGCTCATAGCAGTCTTTATTGCATACGGCACGGCATTATTGCGACCTGCCTGCCTCAATTCTTGCTGCAGTCGCTAGGAAGCGATGGGACGCATGTCTTCGCACTTTTGCTGTTAAATTGTAGAGTATTCCGTCTAGAGGGATTTATTGGCACTGCAAAAGAAAACTGTTGAAAGCAGGAGCTTCACAGCTCGGAGAAAAGTAAAAGACAAACAAGCCATCATAGGAGGACAACTACGCAATGACTTTTGAGATGAAAGTCGACCCAGTACAATAGCAATGATGTTTGTCGCGCAACCCCTTCCAAAACAGAATCGAAGTGTCAGGGTTTTGACTGAGGTACACACTGGATTGATATGAACACTCAGATGTGTCCAAGATTGGGCAAGTGGGTGTTCGCAGTTTCGAGTCGTGTAGGCTATTGATCTACGCGAGGGCAATGCTGCCGGCATGCACAGAGGTACTTCGGCGCATTTAATGACACAATTTGACTGTTCATGAGATGACAAGCCAGATTAGATGTGCACAAAGGAACAGTTCGTGAACTTTGCAAGGATGTTATCGCGTCCGTCATGCAGGTAGCAAAATATGCCAGCAACAAGAGACCCTCCCCCTGAAGTTTCCTTTTCCATACTGGGCCTCCAGGAATTGCGCATGGTTAAATTAAATTAAAAAAAGCCTGGTACTGTACCCCTCGGTGTGAGGGGTACAGTCATTGCTGTTGCCAAGTCAAATTCAATTCACACTGCAGTGACGTAGTCTCTGAGGTGCGTGCAGTGACTGCACGCACCTCAGGGCCAGTCCTAACAAAGGACTTTCCTCTCGTTTTTCCTTTCCCTCGCCCCGTTTTTATTGAGTTCTTCACTAAAATCGGAAGCACATTGCTGTAGTTTTTACTGTAATGCCATCCCATAGTTCCACTCCTCGGAAATGGAACAGAGTCTGGACGGTCTGCAGATCCATGCAGCATGGAAGGTACAGCAACGCCTCCTCGCGCATGCACATGGCCCAGTCTGACTCCCTGTAGCTCGACAAAAGCAAAGCTGGACGACGTGTTGCTATAATGAGGTCCCTCGATGTGCATGACCAAAACTGGGCTGGATTGAGATATGAAACGAAAGATATGGAAGGGATGGAGGGTGCGGGGAGAGACTGTGTCGGTGTCGATGTTAGGAGGATGACGCGGTGGCGGGGACAATAGCATGTCGGAGGATGTGTGTTGGTCACGGTACTGAGGAGGTGAGGAAGATGGTGATGGGGCGTGGTGG